TAAATAAAAAATTTTTAAATGTAAAAATGTAAGAAAGTATCTATTTGAGGAACGGACACACTCTCACTCACATTTATCACTAGCACTCACACACAGTTCAGACACTGCAAAGCTATTTGAGGTTATTGTAGTGCATGCTGGGAGGCTGGGAACTGCACAGCTGGCTCTCCACAAGCTTCAGGAGGGAGAGGAAGAGTCAAGGTAGAGTTCAGCTGCACTGATAACGTATTATCATTATTGGGCAACTATATTAAAACATGAAAAATCGATGTTTCTGCTCTACTGAGTACCTAAGGAAAAGTGTAGGACCCGTAGGGACGGAGCACATTAAGGGTTAACTCCCCTCCCTCCCTTATCGCAGGAGTAGTGTGCCCTCCTGCTGTGCGGGTTGCCAGGACAGGATTGGTTATAGGCAGAAAGCAAGCAGGTGGAGCAAAGGTAAGAAAAGGAAAGGTGTAGGATGTTTTTGCCTCGAAGGAAAATGGGTAAGCTGCCAGGCCATTCCCCCTTTTTGGGGGTTTTGGGAGTTGGGATTCTTGCCGACCATAATAGTTGCTGTGGTGGTTTAATATTCTAAATAAAGTTTATAAAAAAGTGTGAAGTCAACAAGTAGGGGGAATATAAGTTACCATTACAAACCTTGTGTCTGTCTGAATTATTTTAAGGAAGGGTAAAGGGTAGTGTGGATGGTGCCCAAGAGGCTGAAAGGGTAGGGGGGTTTAACCCTTGAAGGTGAGTTGGGTTATATTTTCAATATGACTGCCTATCTACAGTTTCATACTGTGGCGGAACATATGTAGAGAGGGCCATGGTGCAAAAAAAATAAAAAATGAGTCTCTTGTCAATTCTTCTCAGTTTCTTTTATTAAATGCGTAAACTCAAGTTTATCTCCAAAAATAACCACATCTCAGGTCTTCTCAGGCCAACGAGGGGCCTTTCTGACATCCACCACAAGGCATGGACTCCTGTCCCCGACTACAATCAGTGGTTATGGTCATATTCAATGAGAGACAGATCTATTTGCACAGCTTCCTGTGTTTGTCTGAGACTTTTCGGCACAGTCTCCACGTCACTGTTTATTTATTTTTTTTTAAAAACAGGAAAATGACATACACTGACAGCTGCTAGTAACAGGACAATGAGTCTGTAAAAGGAAGGAAACACATATTTCTGTTTCCAAGATTTGGACTCTAAATCCTGAGGTTACCCACTATATTTCCAAATATATAAATCATTTTCTTTAAATAAAAAAATAAATAAATATGAAGCTGGCCCTGCTCCAAAAAGATACGTATACAATAAAAGTCACAGTCATAGGCTTCTAAAACTAACGTAAGGCGCCAGTCGTACATTTACATTACACAAATTAAACAAGGGTATAGTATACTGCGCTCTGAACAATATACAACTGCATATTCACATGATTAATTAAAAAAATAAATGATCATTTCAGATCCAGACTATGTTTCAGGTTACCGTAGTACATGAATGGTGTAAATGATTAGTGAGAATAAGCCAGCTGATTAGTGATTTGTTAGCGCAACCAACACCATTTTACGACTCATTCCCGAGTTGGAATAATGACTTGGACTTGTAGCTCCCACTATTCACAGGCAATGTATAGGGACAAATAGAGCCTATGGCTATACTATACTATACAGTACACTAATAATCACTACTACTAATTTCAACTACTTTAGCGACATCATTGGTATGGGGGGAGGTAAGAGACAAATCATTCAAATCATCTTGACTTTTTACTGTAAGACAGCGCCATTTCCCTTATAACCCCCGACACTGCCCTAACAATAACCCTTAACCCTTTCAATACCGTAACAAGTAAATTAAAACTGACCATTGGCTCCTAGGCTACCCTAACACTTACATTATCCCTTAACCCCTTCGCTACACCACACTAACACCGCTCCTAACCTTTAACCCCTAGATATCCCTAATCCAACCACTAACCTTAAATTTAAAACTAGCCCTACCGTCAATCCTAACACACTAGCCTGCAGGGCCGCCATCAGGGCATGACAACGGTTGTCATGGGCCCAGCAGTCCTGGGGGGCCCGGACTGCTCAGGTCGTCCTGGGCCCCACATTAGCTATGTGCACACATATATAGCGATTAACATATATGTAGAAGTCTCGAGAGCAACGCTCTGCACGGCTCGCAAGACTTCTACAGAGCAGAGTAGCTGGGCAGTATATTTCAAGTGTGCTGGGCCCCCTGCAGAATACAGGTAGCGGGGACTGCACCATGCCTCAGGACCTCCGGCTCCAGGGCTCCAGCCAATGTGATCTCCCCCCTCCATGGCCACAGGTGAGATACAGGGAGGGGGGGAATAAAACAATACTATTAATGGATGGGAAAATAAACTGTAGGCTTTTCCCCCCACATTTTGCAGCCCCATACATTTACACACACTATACACTAACATATACACACACTATTCACTAAAATTTACACACACTACATCCTTACACAAACATACACTGTGCAGTCACTACACACACTACATCCTTACACAAACACACACTCTGGAGTCACTACACAAACACACACTCTGCAGTCACTACACCCACTACATCCACTACACAAACACACACTCTGCAGTCACTACACACACTACTTCCTAACACAAACACACACTCAGTAGTACTTACACAAACACACACACACACACTTTGCCGTCACTACACACACTACATCCACTACACAAACACACACTCTGCAGTCACTATACACACATTAAATACTTACATAAACACAAACTATATAGTCACTATACACACACTACACCGACTACACAAAAACACACTCTGCATCCATACACTGTATTCACTAAACACTACATCCACTACACACACTCTGCATTCACTACACACACACACTACATCCACTACACAAACACACACTCTGCATTCACTATACACATCGCATTTAATACACACAAACACTACATCCACTACACAAACACACATACACACTCTGCATTCACTATAAACACACACTACATGCACTACACAAACACACACTCTGCATCTAATATACACCTCATACATTACACAAATGTACAATCTGCATCCACCATACACACTGCATCCGTTAAACACACACCGCATCCACTTAACACACGAACTCTGCATCCACTACACACATTCTACATCCACTATACACACACCAGAATCAGTACAGACACTGCATCCCTGTGGGTGGACTCGGGGTGGGGGGCAGCACTTTGGGCGGACTCGGGTGCAGGTACCGGGTGGCTCAGACCTTGAGCTGTGTCAGGGGCCCCAAAATTTCTGATGGCAGCCCTGCTAGCCTGAGCCTAAAAATATAATGTAAAATAAAAGATACCTAATGCAATGGGTAGCAGGCAGATTATCTGTAATCTGGTTATGGTTAAACACAACAATCTGCATTTCTATCTACACAATGTTTTGGAAAGATCTACCATGAACTCCAGTGGTTTCCAATAGACCAGTTGAGGTGTGAAGATGTACAGTTCCCACCTAGATATTAAATCTTTCTATCCATTTCTGAGGGTAATAGCCAAACAAAATGTTCTGGATACCATACCTCATATGTTCTCAAATTGTTATTAACATATCTGATCTGTTCTGATTAAACTTTAGCCCAACACACACCTTAACAGTTTTGCAAAATCCACTCCCAATTTTTTTTCTGTTGAGAATTCTGTTGAGTTGTATCAGACATACTCAATCAGACTCACACTCATCATGGTGGCCAGTTATTAGACCAACATATAGGCAGCCCAATTTCTTTCTTCCACGCATTCTTGCCAAAGCCGTACCTTTACTGTCAATTATACTGGCCCATAAAAAGATAAATGTGTGATAATGCTAAGATGGTCCATAGATTTCATGTGACTGCAATCCACATGTCTGCTGAGAAGGTCCAAAGAAATCTCTCATGGTTACAAATCAGACACATGGAAGCTAGACTTCATGATGTCATTCAATTCCTGGCAATTAAGAGTTCAGTGAACTGGTCATTACACAACTAGTCAACTTGCAATATCTTGTAAATTGGGGCTAGTAAATTTTTGTATAATAAATGTTATTAAAATTCCTGAATAACAAGCATGACTTAACAACTTACATCCTACAGGATAGGAGATAAGATGGATATGATAGAATGTGTCACAACAAACTCATCTTCAGAAAATTAAACTGGGATCATGAGAAATTGTTATGGAAGGTTTGATGGAATCTGAAATTCTCTTTGGATTCACTTTAAATTCCTGACTATTTACATTTTAGTGAAGAACCAAATTTAAAGAAAGTCTTTTATATTCTAATGGTAATTGTTCCTTTAAGACCACTTGCTGAACAGGAAGTCAGGTGATACAGGTAGGAAATCAAGATTCAAGAGGAAAATGCTTCCTCTTTGATGAAAGATGTTTTTTTGACCTCTTATAAAACAATGGAACCCAAACATGCTCATTGTCCTTTAAGAAGTCAGACCTTATGTTGGCATTGATTGCTCTGCCAATTTAGCACCAGCACTTGATTCATGATATATATCAAGAAAACATACAAAAAGGTTAAAACAAACAAAAATTACCTCATTGGACAATTAACCAGAGTAGATTTACAATCATATATTTTAAGTTTGATTCAAGGCCGAAACATGAGATTATCAACAGTCATTTGACATCTAGTCATTTATCCCAGTTAGAAAATGAGAAAATTCTAGTATGCCTTTGGTTCTTTGTGGTTTTAAGGCTGTATCTCAAACTTCTGTTTTACAAAAATGTATTCCCCTTTCTTCTTTTTAAAAAAATATATATAAAATTAGCTCTTTTGTTGCAGAACACTTTTTAAAACTTAGCCATAGATCAAAGGAAACGGTAAAAGACATTGGAATGTCTAATTTGACATGTGACTTGTGCAAAAATAATAAATTACCATATAAGAAATATTAAGTAAATAACGCAGTGTGTGAGGATATTCCCAGAAACGAACAATACCTGGTCTGGAGATGAGGCTGGCACACGTCTTCCTAGGTTGGTCTGCATGGGGTCCACCTGTTGAGTTTGAGATGATTCGGGTTTTTTAGAGGACTCTGGGGCTGGGGGATGACTGGCAGGGAGTTCGTAAATGATGGTTTGTAGATCATTTAGGGATTGTGTGGGCCTGATGGTGGGCTGAAGATCCGGGGGCAATGCAAAGCTGATGCGTTTTTTAGAATCCAGAATCTTCTTGGAATTATGAAATGTTCTCATTGGAGTGTGAGTTCGGCAGGTAGTCTGCTCCTCGACAAATATTTGCATGGTATCCGCAGTTGGGTATTCACATAACACAGAACTTTCTGTAAGAGAGCGTGATGAGCCTGATAATACTGTGGTCCGCTGCTGCCCATTTGATCCGGGCAAGCGGTTACTTTTAATGGTCGTCTGGCCTATGGTTGATAAAAAGGGGCTGCTAATACTAATTCCTGGTAGACTAGTGGCAGACAAGCTATTACTAAGAGTACTCCTCTGCATGCTAGATGTAGGTTGAGTGTTAACAGGACTGCTCCTCAGAGCGCTAGTTACTGGTAGGATGTTAACAGGACTGGTCCTCTGAGCATTAGTTGCTGGTAGGGTGTTACCAGGACTGCTCCTCTGAGAACTAGTTTCTGGTAAGGTGTTAACAGGATTGTTTCTTGGAGCGCTAGTTACTGGTTGGATGTTAACAGGACTGGTCCTCTGAGCACTAGTTACTGGTAGGGTATTATAAGGATTGTTCCATGGATCACTAACTGGTGGCATTTTGGTAACCGGAGCCATCCTTTCAGTAGTAGTTGCTGTCAATGTAGTCACTGCTGGTTGAATGTTGTTTTCAATCATCCTTTGCATGCCGGAGGTGGAAAACATGTCGTGGGGGCTCATAGTCTGCAAGCCAGATGTTGGCAAATTATTTTTAGGGCTGGTCTTTTGCATGCCGGCTGGTGGAAGTGTATGACTTGTGCCAATCTTCTGTTCACCGGATACATTCTGGCTGTTACTGACACCGGTTCTGTTTGCAGTAACTATTGCTAAGTTGTCATTGCTTTTGATCTCTTGCCTATGTAATGATGATAGGCCATCAGAGTTGATCTGCTGATCAGAAGGCAGGTAAGCATAGCTATACTGTATCCTTGGTACATCCCCTGCCACTTCCTCGCACTGAACGTTGTATGGCTGGCACCCATTGGCACTCAATGACTGAGAGGTTAAGACTTTGACATATTTCGCTGGAATATAGAATGGTTTTGACTTGTTATCGTGGCAGACGTGCCACCAATGCTCATTAGTCTTTTTCAGGAGTATGTACCTCTCGTTAGGTTTTATAGTGATGACACGTCCGTCTTTAGCGGTGTACTCGAACTCATGTTCCACAAGGACAAACTCCCTCTCCAGAATTCTGGTAGACTGCATCCTAACGATCTGGATTTAGCCTGTAGCAGGACAACAACAGAAGACCAACACGTGATTAATATGGAGTCAGGAATAGTTGGTTACTTTGCCATACGCAATATATAAAAATAGAAACATCACAAAAATGTCCTTTTAACTCTGTCAACATACATAATATCTAATATCCCTAAAACCTCCTCAGCCTCTCCTGGCATGAAGGGACCTGTAAACATATTTGACATAGTTTAAATTCAGGAGGAAGGGGGGTGGCTGTACCAAACGTCATTATTAGTGATTTATAAATAAGACTGCGTGCTGAATTCTGGAAAAGACTAGGTAATTCGATGTGACAGATCCCACTAAAATGGATAATATGTAACTTCATTTATTGCTTGCTGTTTTCAATTATAATATTTTTTCATAGCTATTTATTCACCCATTCAGCTGACAAAAATCATCTTACGTTCTTCCCTAACAGGTACCTCTTCTATTTAAAAGGTTCTAGTGCCAGCAATACTCACAGAGCGGAAGACAATGCCCACAGTTAATGTTTCAAATAGCAAGAGACTTACCCAGGGTCGGCTGAACCTGGCACGAATGTCAAAATGACCCACTCCGTGAGGCCCGTATCAATCAACGTCTGTTCCCTTTCTCATAATGTGAAACTATGAATCTCGATGTTATGAAAACAAACCTTTCCAGACAAACTGCAATTAGCCAGATCTGGATCTCGGAGAACAGGGTACACTGGATATGGAATAGAATTTTGTAATAATGAGGACCTGATGGAGGATGAGTCATATTTTGAAAACGAAGGTGACACCCAAAACTGAACAGGAACGAGGAGGGAACTTACGTTAAAATAAGAGAGAGCAAAGGATGAAAACCTAGTTACATGAAAAACGAATTGCAAAATTTAGGCTAAATTCTCCAAGCAGAACATTTTTCCAAAAAAGCTATTTTTGGCAAAATTTTAAAAGCACTGCAATTCAGTGTTTAGTGAATAAACCCTCAAATTGCAAATTCATTGGATTCAAAACAATTCTCATTTTAGTAAATAATCCTGCGTGTATTTTTTTACACAAGGTGGATAGGTGAACATTATAGTAATTTTAGAATCAATAAACTATCTCCTGCAGACGATGATTATATACAGCAAATAGAAAGCTGCGGTGGCCTTTAATTCCTACTGAATCATGGGACTTGTAGTCCCCATAATCCAAAAAAAGCAATAATTATATAATAAAAGGGCATTAACGTATGCCACATGCTTTACCAGATCGAGAGCAAATTTACAGTTTTGACAGTTATACAGATTGGGGAGTAGTGGGGGTTTACGCTTTACCCGATCGGTAAGCAACACATTGTTGTTTGCTAAAAACTATCCTCTCATTTTTCTATTACCAGTTCTACTATGCTACAAATGTTAGCCTTTTTGCGACTAATTAGCAGCTACTGAAGGATTTATGCCTACGATAATATTAGTTGCTAAATGATAAGTAACACCTGGTTTTTAATGTTAGAAAAAAAACGACACCTGCCTCACATTGAAATAAACAGGAAAATCTAACTTACAGGGGAGTTGTCATGCCCTACTTCACAACTCATAAATCCCTCAGTAATTGTCATCTATACATTGTGTTAGCAAAATCCCTAGCAAATATGTAGATTGTCATATAAACCTACAGTAAAATCAGGGGTAATAAAAAAACCCAAAAATGAGCCAATCACTGCGTTTGTATTTATTTATTTATTTTATTTATTTATAAAATATTTTACCAGGATGGATATATTGAGATTTCTCTCGTTTTCTCTGGTTTTCAAGTATTATATTAATTATATTATATATGTATTTCGCAGTACACCGAATGGAGCATTTTCTTACAATTTAGTTCACGAATTAAGAACCAGTAAAAAAAAAAATCTATATTTATATATATATATTTTTTCACACTATTGGTTACTTCTTACTTGATCTGTCAAAAAAACAACATTTATGGCTCACCCCTAACCATCAATCAATCATCTTTTTTTTTCATGCCATATGTGTTTTTTTTCGTACTGGTGTGGCGAAACAAGAGGTATATGGTTCTCGGGGGGCTTATGCAAAGGGTTGGCTATGTCGGTCATATAACCCACTGACAATATTTCAGATTAGAGAAGAGGGCGTGTTTCCCTGTGTGAATGTGTAACGGTAATTTTTTATTTATTGGAATAAAGAAAGAGGTGCTACTCGAATGTCATCCCATCCTACTCGCCATTCAATGTAGGAGATCTCCAGGTGTGATTGCTAGAGAAACTGACCTCTTATCTACGCAGAAATTATGTGTGAAAAGCAACACCATCAGAAAGCGTGGGTGAAGAAGTGAGAGTTTATCTCTGATTGCTAACTAGTTTTTTTTTAAATTCCCTAGCATACTTTAAAAAAAAAAACTTTCTGAATTCCAGTTTCTGTATGTCCAACAAAAATGATCCTACAGCCACACTAATGTATCACTCTCTCTATTGTACCAGTTGTTTTGCCAAATCTGCTTGTTAATCTATGCACAGCCTAAATAAAGAATAAAAAATAAATTTGTAAAAAAATCATACAAACACCTTAAATTTGCAGCGCGAAATATAATACGTAAACATCTTCCCATTGAACAGCTCCAGTTTAGCTCTATAAATAAACTTTAATAAAATCAGTATAACTTGACTTTTTTCAGTTACACCTGGACCTCTCTCTGGGTAGTCACGACAGACAGTGACCTCCAACAGCCTCTCCTGTTGATGGGGATGTCACTTAATGATGGCATATCTATTTAAAACAGCACCTATGGCACGCACTGAAATTGTGCCCCTGGTGGCCCCTGTCCAAACAACTGGCAATCATGTTTTAGATAAATTTACTATAAAATCATGTAAAAATACAAGCTCTGTGTTGGGTAAGCTGGCTGAATGTAAAGTATGTGATGTGTGTTTGGTCTGTGCTGGCTGTATGTAATGTATGTGATGTGTGTTACTGTATATAATGTGTGTGGTCATGCTCTGTGTAGCCCCCTCCTGCTTGGCTTTCTTCAAGGCGGGGGGGCTATGCTACCTTGATGTATAGTAAGGGTTAACTCTGCCTGCTGGCGTAGCAGAGTTCTGAGTCCCTGATGGACGTGCTGGGGAGCATAAGGGTTGCTCCTCTCTCCAAGGTCGGCACTTAGCAAATAAGAGTACAAGTTGGGAACATCAGGTGGCTGCACTCTGAGTCACTGGGGAGCACCGGACCACAAGGGAGCCAATACTGAGGTCTGCCATGCTACCAGTTTTGTTTCCCTTTTACCAAGGCAGCCCTGTCACTTGCACGGTACAGGTTTTAATTGTATTTAGTGTTTTTTTTAATAGTTAGCAATGTGTGTGTTAGATGTATCTGGAAGTTTCATGACTTATGATGGGTATGCATACACTGATCAGCTATAACACTAAAACCACTGACAGGCAAAGTGAATAAAATTAATTATTTCATTACAATTGCACCTGCAAAGGAGTGGGATATATCAAGCAGCAAGTGAACAGTCAGTTCTGCAATATTTATGTATTGGAAGCAGGAAAAATGGGCAAGTGAACTGATCTGAGTGACTTTTACGAGGGATTGGGTCAGAGCATCTGCAAAACAGCAAGCCTTGTAGGGTTTTCCAGATATGCAATAGTTAGTACCTACCTAAAAGTGATGCAAGGAAGGACAACCAGTGAACCTGCGTCAAGGTGATGGACATCCAAGGCTCATTTACGCATTTTGGAAACAAAGGCTGGTCCAATCACACAGAAGAGGTACAGTAGCTAAAATTGCTGAAAAACTTAATGTTGGTCATGATAGAAAGGTGTTAGGACACTCAGTGCATCGCAGTTTGTTATGTATAGGGCTGCATAGCGAACAGAGTGGCCATGATGACCCCTGTCCACTATCGAAATCGCCTTTAATAGGGATGAGAGTTTCAGAAGTGGACCATGGAGGAAAAGAACAAGATTGACTGGTCTTATGTATCATGTATTCTTGTAGATCGGATGGATGGTTGGGTGTGTGTGCATCGTTTATGTGGGGAAAAGATGGCAGCATGATGCATTATGGGAAGATGTCAAGCCAGCAGAGGCAGATTAATGCTCTGGGCAATGTTCTGCTGGGAAACCTTGAGTCCTGGCATTCATGTAGTTGTTACTTTGACTCATACCGCCTACTTAGAGATTGTTGCAGACCACGCACACCCCTTTTTGACAACGGTGTTCCCTGATTTCCATGGCCTCTTTCAGCAGGATAATGCACCCTGCCACACTACACAAATTGTTCAGGAATGGTTTGAGGAACATGTCAAAGAGTTCAAGATGTTCCCCAGATCTCAATCCGATTAAGTATCTTTGAAATGTCTTGTTACAACAAATCTGATCAATGGAGGCCCCACCTTGGAAATTGCAGGACTTAAAGGGACACTCCAGGCACCCAGACCACTTCTTCCCATTGAGTGCCAACTCCCATCACCTTTAACCCTGCAAGTGTAATTATTGCAGTTTTTATAAACTGCAATAAATACCTTGCAGGGTTAAGCCCTCCTCTAGTGGCTGTCTATTAGACCGTGGCTGTCTATTAGACAGAGGGACCTCTGGCTTCTTAGAACACGAAAAGTGTTTTAAACGACGCTGGAAGTCCTCGCGCTATGCATGAGGACCTCCAGCGTCGCCGGAATCCCCATAGGAAAGTATTGAATAATGCTTTCCTACAGGGAGGTCTAATGCGTATGCAAGCCCATTGCCGCACATGTGCATTAGGTCTCCCCGGCCGGCTGATGTCGGCAGGGGAGGATAGGCGGAGACTGACCCAGCGCAGAGGGACATTCAGGTAAGCAACATGGGATGGGGGGTGGGAGGGAGAGGGGCAATGTAGGTTCCTGCAGTGCCAGTAAAACAGGTTTGTTTTCCTGGCACTGGAGAGTCCCTTTAAAGGATCTACTGCTAATGTCTTAGTGCCACAGGACACGTTCAGAGGTCTTATGAATTTTAATAAAGCTTCATTTTTCAAACAGAATATGACATGTTTCATACATTTCACCTGGGATGTTGAATGATTGGCTTTTAAAGGGGGGTTGTCACTTCTCAGGATTTAAAATATGTTTACTTTTACCTCACTTATACCTTATCTTTAAAAAATATATGTTTAGGAGGTTTGAGAAAACGTAAAAAATACAGAAATCCCCTCTGCTGTCTTTAGCTCTATCA